GGGAATATCATATTCTCTGAGTTCTAAACCTTCCTACTTGACAATGTGTTTGGTCATTGGGCTATTTGTCTACTAAGGTCTAGAAGACTAGGGATGTCAATTGAACCCGCACCCGACGGGGAACCCGATTCCCCGCCCCTACGGGGACGGGGATGGGGACAGAAATAGGGGATCGGGGATGGGGATGGGGGCAATTTTGAATTCCCTGCCGGGTACGGGGGCGGGGATGGGGAGTACTCTCCCCGCCCCGCCCCGCCCCGTCCCCGATATATACATATATATATATATATATATATATATATATATATATATATATATATATATATATATATATATATATATATATATATATATTGCCACACAACGCACACAAATGTAGTACTTTGTATACAATATATATAATTTTAGAAGTATTCTTGTCATTGTATGTCATGCATATTTAAATAAAATGTTTAATTGTAAAATACTGATACAACTTTGAGTTGGGGATGAATATATATGCGTTATTTATTTAAATGTTTTTTAATGTTTAATGTTTAATTTTTATTTTTTTTATAACTTGTTAACGGGGTAGGGATTCCCCGTCGCCGAATAATCCCCGTGGGGATGGGGATGGGGGAATTTTTCATTCCCCGGCGAGGATGGGGATGGGGACGGGGAATGGGAAAAAAGTCGGGGACGGGGATGGTGGGTATGTCCCCCGCCCCCACCCCGCCCTGTTGACATCCCTATAGAAGACCTCGAATGAGGATTGATCTTTGGGTGACTAATGACTCATGACTCATGAATGAAGTCTGCAACTTCTATTTGTAGTGTTATGCTACTCTGATCTGCAAATAAAAAATGTTATTTGCTTGACAGTCAAAAGTGAATCATATCACATCATATTGGTTTGCCTGAAGCAAATAAATTGTGAATATTTGATAATGATGGTTCCTCATAAGTTGAGAAAATGGGTTTTAGAGATCACGAATGGTCTCACCATCGCTATATCTATACTTCTTTTTTTTTTTTTTTGCATTTAATCTCCCTAAGATTGTTGAGTGCTCCAATAATTTTTGTTCAATGTGTATGCTTGACCTATTTGATTTTATATGTCACTTGTGGTGAATTACATATACATTTGAGTACTGATCGTGTTGCAATAATCTTTACAACATAAAGACCCAAATTATTTTAAAATATGGCATGATCTTGGGTCACATTGGGCACATATAATGAGTCAGATTTGTACTAATTTTGTTGGGCATCGGATATATGTCAACCAGTAGTTTTCCTTTAATTTTCACATTAATATTTTCTAGAGAAGATGTGAAAGGAAATTTCTGAATTATCGGTTTTGTTTCAGGACATCCAATTTGATATCTACTGTTTTGAATTTAAATATGACTTACTGCATATCGTGATTATTCCCCATACGTCTAGTACATGGTAAAATGAACATTTCTCCATCTGCATTTTTGGCATTAGTATGCAGTCTCTATTCATATGTTATCACCATAGCGTACCTCTAGGGGCTATTAAAGAAACTAGGTATACATGTTGGTTATAAACCTCCGTATGTTGCCTAAATATATACCTATAGCCCATGATAGGGGATCAATATATAATTGTGTATGCTAACTGCATACTTTATGAAGATCGGTTCACGACATTATGGAAAAATATGAGCCCAAATTTAATGAAATCATGAGAAGTTCCATGTAATAGAAAGATCTTCATTATTTAAATTCACGTACTAGTTAGACTGAACTGTAAGTTCAGAAGATAATCTATTTGCGACATTAGCAAATAATCTACCAAACATATCTATTAATCATGTTGATCGAAAAAGAGTGACTAGTGTCACGGACGTTTTTCCGTGACCGTGCGAAGACCCAAAAGTAGGAGGAAACGGCCAACTGGTTAGCAATGCCATGCGGGTTAAGGGAGGTGTCAATAGCGTTAAGGGTTGTTCTGCCTTAGACGCGAAGGTCTGGCCGAGTTAAGCACGCCGACCCGGTTAAGTTTGGGGAGCCTGTCGCTTGTCTTGGACATGACTATGAAGGGGACCTGATGCGATCGAAAGGCACAACTGGTTGGGAGCTGTTGCCGCTTCCCTGATGAGCCCATGGCAGGGCGAAACCAGTGTGGTGCGTATGTGGGTAAGGCTGGTCCGCGGGGCATGAGGGGCCTCGGGACGCCGCACGGGTGCTGTGGGCTGCGCCGAACTCTATGCCCGTGTCAAAGTGGTATCAGAGCGGGACGTGCTTATATTGCTGCGCGCTATGGTGGGATCCTCAAGGGGTGAGGATTATGCGAGCACTGTTGCGCGAGAGGGGATGCGCACGTGCTGATGACGGCTCCACTCCGTTGGTCCGCAGGGGGCGGATGGGTCCTTTGGAAGGAATCGGGACTCGGGTGGCCGCCAGCTCAGCCGGACTACTCTTCGTGAGATGTCCTGGCATTAGCGGCGCGTATGCAATTAAGTACGGCGATCATTGGGCAGAGTCCTCTCCCCTAGCACGAGGGCGTGCTAGATGTTGGGTGGGGGAGAGTGTCACGGACGTTTTTCCGTGACCGTGCGAAGACCCAAAAGTATGAGGAAACGGCCAACTGGTTAGCAATGCCATGCGGGTGAAGGGAGGTGTCAATAGCGTTAAGGGTTGTTCTGCCTTAGACGCGAAGGTCTGGCCGAGTTAGGCACGCCGACCCGGTTAAGTTTGGGGAGCCTGTCGCTTGTCTTGGACATGACTATGAAGGGGACCTGATGCGATCGAAAGGCACAACTGGTTGGGAGCTGTTACCGCTTCCCTGATGAGCCCATGGCAGGGCGAAACCAGTGTGGTGCGTATGTGGGTAAGGCTGGTCCGCGGGGCATGAGGGGCCTCGGGACGCCGCACGGACGCTATGGGCTGCGCCGAACTCTATGCCTGTGTCACTATGCCCCATATATATTTTCTCCAAATTGGACGATATATATCTACTGACGCTTCTTGACACCAGAAGTGTAGGAGACCTATCAGGCTAAACTTACTCCTGCAAATGTGCCATTTGCAAGATGATGTGACTAATGCCACATCATTTTTTATTTTTTATTTATAGTGAAATGTGTTTGCAAATTTGCAAACCCTGAAAAAGCTGCCGCGGCAGCTTCTGTATTTTATATATATATTTTTTTAAATTTTGTTTTCTTTACTTTTTAATATTTTAATATAATTAATAATGTTATTTTAATATATTGAGCCCACTTTTGAAAGTTGATTAGATTTGTAGGGAATTAGTGTGAATAGTAGATGATTTGCAAATGGGATGATGTGGAAGTGGGGTCTATTTTTTAGAGTGGGAGAGATTTGCAGGGATAATCTTAGCTTCAGTGTAAAGAATATGAATCTGCAACAACTAGATCTAGTTAAGAATTTTGTCACTCTTGAAATATCTTGAAGAATTATGTTCTGAAGATGCCCGTCCGAAAACCCAATAAACTTATAGGTATACCAAATAATCATAATACTGGAAATGCGGAACGACCAAATTTAAATATCAAATATCTTTGGAAAATTGCTAGAATCTGGATGATTCAGATATTGCAATGATAATTTATGAATATGGGAGAAATTTGTGATAAAAATATTATAGTTGTCAACAACACAATTGTCTATATAATTGCTCATATTATAATCTGGATCTAGAGATAGGCGCTAGAAGCGCCCTCATTGTTTAATATTTAAAGGAAAATTAAGGCATACCTCAACTCGCTAACATAAATGTGTTCTATTTATAACATGTACATCATTGAATGTTAACCATGTAGGTTACAAATGAGTGTTTGTATGAAAGAGAAATACTGATAATGCATGCGATGGTGTTATATATAAGCGAGACTAGTAGCTCAATTGTTTGTTACACCTTGACTCATCCATCACAACTTGAATTGTAACAAATTTCACCAAGGCAAACCACCAACCAACAAAGGAGAGCAATCACAACTTCCAAGAATCATAAGAGAGGATAAGCAAAAATATAGCCCAAAGTGATCCCCACACTTAGACCAAAAAACACCGTCCCCGATGTTAGACAAGTTAACAAAAATAACCAAAATGACAAGAAAAGTGACACCATGTAACAAAAATATTTACACAAATAACAATATCCATCCTACAAGCATGATCAATTCACAAAAATACTAAAAGCAAGGATAAAGAGGATGGGTGATGATACTTCCCTTATATGGTCTTCGGGGAGGGGTGGGCACAAAATATCCCAGATTAATCATCAACAAAAGAAAAGTAGTAAAGGATTAATTTAAAAAAAAAATAAAAAATGAACACACTTTGTGTTCGGCAAAACAGGGGACAACTACGGTCACAGCCACGGCAGTGGCTGCATGCCTCCCAGGGAACACTACCTGGTGGCCACGGGAATGGCTTTGCCATTGGGAAGTGTGCCCTAAAAAAACTGAAGCCTGTCCACGGCAGTTGATTTGCCCATAGCTGGCTTCCAGAAAATGGGTGCAATTTTGCACCCATTCTGGAAATTGCATATTTCCATTTTTTTTTTTGAAATAAAAACTTCCCAAATCAAGAATTAATAAATGTGTCACTACGGGAAATTATGGAATTTTCGACCACCTGAAAGTGATCTTAAATCAAGTCAAAAGCCTTGTTCCGACCACTTTTGGTATCCGGAAAAATCTTTGTTGTTATTTCCGATCACTTTTTGGTATCAACTTGATTTAAGATCACTTTCAGGTGGTCAGAAATTTCATAATTTCCAGTAGTGTGTTATGCAATAAAATGAAAAAAAATATGTTATGCAAGCTTAGGGTGCCTCCCAACTAGCGTTATTTTTAATGCCGTATGCCCGATGTTACCTCAATTGATCAAAGTGGGTTAAACAACTTTGGCTACTCAGGGTCCTACCTGAATGCAAGTTTGAAAAAGAATAGTGAATTGAACATTGCAGTGGACTGTTACAACTTAGCCATTGGAGCAAAAAAAACAACATAACATACACACAGCTGAAATTGTTTAGATCAAATGAAAACCAAAAATACATTCTGTTTGTTTTCTCCCAACCAAAGAGACAAATCACCACCAATCTGGATTGGACTGGACAAGTGGCTAAATTTATCAACATTAGCCAGTGCATCAACTCATGAAAGCTAGGCAACAGACCGGAGAACTTATTCATTAATAAACTTCAGCCATGAACTTATAAGCTGAAACATAAAGAGAAGTTCAAATTCAATTGCAACACATCAGAATAATATTTCCTCAGTCACTGCACTTTCTTCTTCAATGCATTCACCAGAATAACTTCTTCAGATATTTCATCACACTCTTATCAGCTTTCAATATTTCTTCTTTAGAGCTTTCAACACTTTCTTCTTTAGAGCTTTCGACACTTTCTTCTTCAGAGCTTTCGACACTTTCTTCTTTAGATCTTTCAATAATAGGCAATTCAACCTTGAAAAGTAATTGAAAATGAGTAAAAAACAAATAATTAATTAATACATGGAATTAGAATACAGAAAACTAATATTTTGAAATAATGAACAAGAATTAGAGAGAAACCTTAGTTCCAACTTTACGAACACGAAGTGGACAATCTGCCTTTCCCTTTAATGTTCTGCTTTTTGCAGAAGAAATCTGCGTTGCAGAAGTCACAAGAGAATAATAAAAACATTCTAATACAATTAAATTCAGTGTTCCAATTTTTGCAAAATTAATAGGAACTTGTTTCAATTCCCAACAATATCTTAAGACAAGGCGCTCCAAAACTGGGAAATGATTAGGACTTGCATTCCAATGTTCGAGATTTGACCGTGAAATAAGAAGTGCCTTTAATTCCCGAAAGCCCTGCTTCGATGGTTTCCACGTTGGGCCACAAAAGGCGAAATCTTTTAGTTTAAGCACCTCAAGGTGTGGCAACTTGCCAATTGTGCCCATCTCCTTCCATGGAAGATAAATATAACGAAGTGTCAACTTCTTAAGGTTTGGTGGAAAACCTGTTGGAAGACAAAAGCGCTCGACCCTTCCTACTTCAAACTTCAACTTCTCAAGTAGATGTAAATGCACAAGGCTCCCTAGATGGCTAGGCACCAATTGTCCTTCAATGTAAATCCCAAGTTCCTTTAGGTTTGGAACCATTACGAAGTTTGATTTTTCGTCGGAGCTAGCAACTTTTAACCAATAAAGAGTTTGTAGATTGGTTTTTACTAAGCAAGGGAGATATTGTGAACATCTCTTGTCAACATGCATATGCCTCAATTGTGGCAACCCCAAAATATCAAATGGCAGGTGCAAAGGACATTTTTCCATCCAAGAAGTAACTATGAGAGTTAGCAACTTTTTAAGCTTGAGAAATTGAAGCTCGTAAAGAGAACCAATGGTACTTAAAAGACATGTATCTCAAATGAACCAAATATGTTATTTCACTAGGCATGCCTTGTGACCATTTAACTAATGATAAATCCAGTACTCTTAACAATTTCAAACATGGGTATACCAACCTGCATTTTGAATGGTATACATCTTTACCAAAGCAGAGAACTGAAAAGATTACCAAAACAGAGAACTGAAAAGATTGTATAGGGAGAGCAATTTTCATAACTTGCTTCAGTGATCGGCCAATGACTTGTTTGACAGCTTAACCAATGACTAGCTTTTGGAGCATGGTTGTCATTGATAATGCTCAAAGCATTCCCCTTTATTGCTTGTCTCACACAGACCTCGTGCACTCGATCATGAACCTTACATGATTTAACTTTGCCATCAATACTTAGCTCATTACTTTGAACTAAACCTCTATTAATGAGATCATGCAAGTGACTCTCCGCCACTTCTTCCAAACTCATATTGTCATGTGGCATTAAAAATCCCTTTGCAACTCATAAGTTGATTAATCTCTTAACGGGAATGACATTGTCTTCAGGAAACACACCAAAATAATGAAAGCAAGGTTTCAAGTGAGGAGGTAAGTAGTTGTAGCTCAATGAAAGTATTTTTGAAATTCTTTTGTCATTATCATATCTATCAACTCTACCCAAAGTTTCCTCAACATCTCTCCATATTTCTAGCGACTCTTCTGTTGTCGCTAAAAGTTCGGCAATTACAACAACTTCTAGTGGTAATCCACTGCAACCAAAAACAATCCTTTTCCCAATCGTCCAAAGTTTGCTCCACATCTCTCTATATTCCACAGATGGAACCCATTTGCTTTGCCCAAACACTTTCCTTGAAAATAATTCCCATAGATTCTCTATAGTTTGATACTTCACATGGTAGGGATCTGCACTTAAGTATTTAGCCACCTTTGTGAACCGAGTAGTTAGTAAGATTCGGCTTCCATTAAAATTATCTGGAAAATATCCTTTGATGGCATCCCATGCAGCAGTGGTCCATAAATCATCCAAGAAAATTAAATACTTCTTGCCCATCAAGCTTGTGCATAATTGTTCAGCTATTTGAGCATCATCTATGTTGTAGATTTCACTTGTTATTGGTGAAATACAACGCAATAGACCAATGAGAATCTCTTTGAGGTTAGGAACCTGAGACAAAACTACCCACGCTCGAATGTCAAAGCTAGCAATAGTAATTGGATGTCTATAGACTCTTTTGGCTAATGTAGTTTTTCCTATGCCTCCTTCCGCAACGAGAGGGATAACTTGTAGTTGGCAATTTATATCCTACACCACGGCGCGCGTTGCACTATGCACCCAGATGCAAAACGACGTCGTTTTAATTTTTTTTTTTTTGAAATTTCCCGCCCCAGTGAATGACAGTAGTTTTTTCTTTAAAAAAAACCCGTTGTTCAAGAATGTACATAATGTTATACTAGAATACACATAATTGTATACATGAATGTACATAATTATATAACAAAATATACATACTCTTTTTAAAAGATAATACACATAATCTAACATAATACATAATAAACATAAACTTTTAACATAATACACATCAACTATTAACATAATACACACAAATTTTCTGATTCGGATGTACATAATTGTATAAAAAGAATGTACATAATTGTATAAAAAATGTACATAACTGTATGAACCAATACACATAACTGTATAAACAAATACACATAACTGTGTGAACAAATACACATAATCCCAGCAACTTCCTACCGTGCCTCCCAAAACGACGTCGTTTTGGGAGGCGCGCGGCGCACAGTGCTATGTGCGCCGTGGTGTAGGGTATAACGATTGCTTGTAGTTTTAGCACAGGGTTTTCAACATATTTCCGAAACTTGTGAATATTACTATTCCTCAAAATGGTGAATACTGATCTCATAAAGTGTGAATAACATAGGCGGTTAACTATCGTCGCTATATCACTGTGGAATCCTACAATTACTTCATTCTCAGGCTCTAAAGCACTTTGGTAGGTATCCCAAACCGTAATGTTCTTTTCCTCATCAGGGTCTAAAGCAGTTCCTTTTTTTATCATCAGCAACCATTCTTCAACTTCCTCAATTTCTCTTACCATTATTTTCAAGGTCCCACGAAGATGCCCACATTTAGCTTCCGAATAGACTAGTCCCAGTTTAGATTTTACTTCATACTTGTCATATATTCCAGCAACTTTATGTTCAAACCAGCCATTCCGCATTTTCTTCTCACACCCCTCCTCCAAAAATGCTTGCAGAATGCAGAGCTTGGCAGACAGCAACTTGATGGTTTCGAGCAGCCACACCTTCATTCCTCCGGCATCAAAAATCAAAAGTAGTTTGGGCTCCATAAGGTCTTGCTCTACTATTTTGATTAGAGTGGTTACAGCATCTAAAGCCATTCTATTGAACTTCTCTAAAGTGTTTCTGGAATTCCATCAATTATAGAGCAAGAAATTAAATAATGGAATGATTATAACAGATCAGAGATGATTGTGCATGCAATGCAAGATGGGTATGGTTAAAATCTAATATACTCATACTACTGGAAATTCTAAAATTTCCGACCACCTAAAAGTGATCTTAAATCAAGTCGAAAGCCTTGTTCCGACCACTTTTGGTGTCCGGAAAAACTTTTGTTGCTATTTCCGACCATTTTTGCTTTCGATTTGATTTAAGATCACTTTTAGGTGGTCAGAAATTCCATAATTTCCAGCAGTGTCAGCAAAACCATTGCATCTTTGAGCGAGCTAGTTTCTAAACTTCACGTGGTTCAACCAAAAAATGCAAAGTTTGTTACCATTACAAGTTTTAAATTTGTTTTTCAATTGTTTGTATGCTGAGGGGCTATTATATTTAAATTTCAATTGCATATAGAATCTGCTATATATTGTTTGTATGAAAATGTTTTATATTACAAATGAAAACATTTTCATAGCATTGTGTGCAATTTGACCAGCATGACACACAATACTATTTGTGCATTCGTGTTGTAGCTTTTGTGCATTTATGAAAAGTTTCAAAGGACTCACAAGAGGATGTAGTCTCACTAGAACATTAGCCTATATATATATATATATATATATATATATATATATATATAGTTATCACACAATGAAAATGAGATAAATGTAACGTTTATCCGTTACTATTATTATAACATTAGGATAAGTTATGATAATATTCAGTATTTGATATGTGGTGCAACACTAATAACCTAACAACTAGACTACCATTATGATTAGGAGTCTAGTTAGGGTTTAGGAGACCTAAAGACAATCAACCACAATGATGGCCAGTGGTTATATAAGGTCACTAGTCCTCTCACTGCTCACATTACATACCTCATACACCATCTAGAGAGAGCTGAGTAAAGTGAGAGACAAAGCACTTATCATCTCTGCAGCAGTCCGGATCGCTCAACCGTAAGAAGAACTATGGCTGGAGGTTAGTACGATCCTATTATCACATATAAGATTATGCATGTGATATTTTAGTCTAACAGTTGGTATCAGTTGCCTGTATAATCTCTGCCTAATTTGTTTAATTGCTTAAATATTTGCACATTTATATATTTTGTTATATAATTGAGATACATGTGTAAATATTCTTGAGTATGCAATTAAATTTGCTGGACTGCTGAAAATAATTTTCCGCATTAAGAATTAATTAAAAAAAATTATTATTGGATAATTATTTTGGCCTACTGCTTCGCCATTTTTTCTCATGCCGACATCCATTTTTTCTGTTGGCGCTGCTTACGGTAGAAAATTGAAGAAGATGATGATGTTATGTTAATGGGCCAGGTCTGGCCAAATTTGGGCTAGACCTGGGCTCATTAAGAAAAAAAGAAAATTATATTTTTTTTTAATCTGGGCCTGTTATGGTTTTGGATCAAACCTGAATTGATATTTGGACTACATCAATTCATTCAGATTAACATCTTCATCATATTTGGACTTCTTCTAATTAAATTATCCAATTGAAATTTTTTTATTAAGTCTATTATTAAATTATTATTCAACTTTGAATAATTATTCAGTTTTAATTTTTCAGTTGAATTTTAATTTAATAATGTTTTTCAATTTAATTGTGGAGTATTTGTGAGTAATATGCATAATCTGAGCATGCTATGTATCTCTTTATTGCAATAATTATTTGACTGTTATAATTATATGCCTAGAAAAGCATGCTCATTAAGAAAATTTTAGAGCCTTTTAGGTCTAAATTATATGTTATGCATGATTTAGTGCCTTTTAGGTGAATTAGTGCCTTTCAGGTTAGATTATGCATATTATTACTCACTCTTCAGTTATTACTCCACTCGTTCTCTTAGAAAGTACCTAAAGCACATAAAGTACATAAACAATTCGTAGTTTACCCTATTCAAAGCCTTATCCATAGGTGAAACTACTCTTTAGATCTATCAAACGATTTTACTTCAAAAATGAGAACACATGAATTAGGGAAGTTTCTTGGGGAGGAATACTAGTTCTATGGCCCTGGCTTAAACGCCTTGTTGCTACTAGTCTCCTTGCGACGCTACTCTGTCTAAGGAGTTGGTATTTAACCGAGCTTCGTCTCGACCAACTTTCCTGGGAGTATACCTAAAGATTGACTATCATATTTTGGTTTAATCTGTTTGTTTATTAGGTTTTCTTGCTAATGTGATTATGTTCTTTGGTTAATTAAAGAGTAGCCACATCATCTTTAATTTTTCCAAAATTACATATTAAGTTTTACTCACATAAAGTTAATGCAAGAATATTGTAATTCACTCTGCGTGATATGGCAAAATTTAGCCCACAGGCAATTTTGTTAT